CTGCTGCCGGTGCAACCCAACCCTGTGGAAGAAGAAGAAGAAAATAGACAGATTGATGGAGTGTGATGATATCCTTCTGGCTTTCCATCGGTTTCCTTTTCAAACAGTACTCAGGTGTTCATAACTCAAGTAAATCCAAGTTCGTGGTAAACCAGAGAGCGGTGCAAGAAAATAAATCTGGACATCAGAAGCTTGTTGAACCTTGATCGTGGAAATTGGATTTTTTTTTTTTTTGTACCAATGGATTTCAGCGTATGAACCCAGGTGTGACCCAAGCCTCAGGATAGTTTTTACAGTGTGATTCGGTCTATATTAACCGGCCGCGTGCCATCACACCCAAACTGCTGCGGAGTGAAATACGGTTTTATACCCTTTGCTTCAGCAGAGGAATGTTGGCGCGCGTCTTCATCTGATTCCTAAAAGCACCGTGACATGGAGCTGATCGAGGCTTTAGGCATCATCGCTGGCCTCTCAGGTCTCTTTTTTTAGTACGTCCAGGCTTCGGCAGAGAGTTTTGCTTCTCACAGCAGCACAACAAATACTGCTGCCTTGTTAGGAGAAACGCCGTTCTGCTGTTTGTGACGTTAAAAGAGAGTCTTAAGCTGACCCGATTACAGGAGCATGAAGGGCCCATCGGAGAACAAGAGTGAGTCCACGGAGCAACGCTAAAGACGGACGTGATGTTTTCTGTATATAGACATACAGCTAGCACAGGGCTCACATGCTAATCTGTCTGCAGGGCCTGTAGTCTTTGGGAATATCTGGCTGGCACAGGAAGAGGGCAACAGCAGAGCCCGGAAAGACGGCCTGGAGCATGGAGTAAACTGTGGTAAATAATTGTAGGATTTCAGTAAATCCCCGCAGCAGGTTGTTTTCCTGTGTATTATCAGAGCAGCACGGCTTCAGGAATGGCAGCCTTGTTCAGTCATCGCTCGCTCTCTGGTTGAATTTAGGAAGATGTCACACTTTGGTCGACGACAGTAACTACATGCTAGAAACTTGGTTGAGTTTAGGCACCAAAATGACTTGATTGGGGTTTGAAAAAATGTCAGATTGGGTTAAAATTTGACCCTTTCTAAAGCTTCTCCCCAATTTTCTGGGTTCCCGCGGTGATGAGTCCGACTCCATCTAATAAGTTTGGTTGGCTGAAACATAGCGACAGTAAAGAAATCTTTATTAGTGTTTGGCAGAATTTTCCTTTTTCACCTTTTTCCCGAAAAGCACATTTAAGAAAGCAGTTTAACTGAATGGGAGCTCACAGCTGGAATAATTCTGTTTGTTTGTTACCCACTTGCAGAGTCTTTTTTTAAGTGCACACAGAGAACGAGAACAGAGTAAAAAAAAAAACCAGAACATTTGCTGAATTGTGATTTCAAAAAACTGTATTGGAATAAAATCTCATACTCCACCTTTAAGAACTGGTACGTGACAACTGGCAGCGGAAGTAGACGGATAGGAAGGTCCTCCTGAAACGCAATGTTTGTGTGATGTCACTGTGTAATCCATCGTCCTCTGTACATCGACATGAGGAGGTATTTGTGTGATAGAGTCCGACTGATGAATCCTGATTTTGTTTTCCGATGCTGATTTTTTGATTTTTTTTTCTTTTATGTGAGATTTACATCCACTGCATCCAACACAGCAGGATATTTCTGTTCTGTGAACCGAACACTCTGAAACGTTTTGGAATTTGTGAAGCAGTTCGTTATGACTCTTCATGTGGTCGTAGTGACGTGTAAGAACATGTGGCCTTTGCACCAGGAGGGTACAGGACACTCAGTCTATCCGTTAATCAATCAATAAGTTGTCATGAAATGTAGGATTCATGGTGCACAGACAATGCATCCTGCTGACGTCCTTGAGCACCTTTTATCCATCCATCCATCATCTATACACCGTTTAATCCTCACTAGGGTCGTGGGGGGCTGGAGTCTATCCCAGATGACTCAGGGTGAAGGCAGGTTCACCTGGACAGGTCACCAGTCTATCACAGGGCTACACTTAGAGACAGACAACCAAGCACACTCACATTCTCAGACAATTTAGAATCACCAATTAACCTCAGCATGTTTTTGGACTGTGTGGGAGGAAGCTGGAGAACCCGGAGAGAACCCACGCTGCACGGGGAGAACATGGAGACTCCACACAGAAAGATCACGGGTGTCCTCACCGGGATGCGAACTGGTGACTTTCTAGCTGTGAGGCGACGGTGGTAACCACTGCTCCACCGTGCAGCCCTGAGCATAAATGAGGTTCACATTTATGTTTGGAGTGAAACAACTTGGTGCACAAATGTATGACCCCGACCACGATGCATTGATCTTGCATTCGTCATCATTGATAAATACCACTATTTAAATGACATATAATGCATTTTTATTTATATTTCTTCTTATTTTATTTGCATCTACAACTGCTGCAGTAGGTACAAGTCCAGTTTCTGGATTAATGAAACGATGAACAGCAGGGACTGCTGGAGAAAAGCTTGACGGCAGCTTATAATAGATGTCACATGGGTCAAGAGGTTTCGTGAGGACAGCAGTGCCTCTAACTGACTCAAAGACAGATGGTTCACAGCCAGATGTCAGGGAGGGGTTGATGATATTCGTTAGGAAGCCGAGCAGATCAGCAGAAATTGTCCCGGACAGGGAGAAGGGAGCGGGTTCAAGGGGGCAGAAGTTAAGTCTGCTCATGGGATTTTTTCAGGACTTCATTTAAAATTGGTTGAGAGAGACATTAAGCTCATGTTAGAGGGGTCAGAGGAGGAGACAGTGACCAAAGGTTAGCCTGGAGAATGAGCCTCGGCTGTCGCCACTCTTTTTGTGAAGCCGACAGAGGAAGGGAGGAGGGAGCCGGGCAGCACCGAGAGCAGCGCAAAGGATCCACTCGCCTCCGCGGGCCAGACGCTGAAGACTGGATTTAAAGTGGTAAATGGCAGATTTACCGACAGATAGAGGCAAAGAAAGGAGGAGATGAGATACTCAGACTCTTCCAAGAAAGCCAGACTTGTGGAATTTTCCCGCAGCTGCCTGAAGCGTTGTCCATTTGATTCGCTCGGTAGTTTTACAGCCAAAGAGCAGGTGGGAGCAGCTTAGAGGAAAAGGGGAGAAGGTCCTGCAGGGATAAGAGGGCAGGAATAAATGCGGAGGTCGCCGAGGAGACACAGGAAGGAGTCGGCTGGAGGGAGTAGCGAGGGGTGAGCTGAGGACAGGAGGAGGCCGAGGAATCACAAGACATACCTGGCGGTGACGGAGTGAAGAAAACCAGTTCGGAAGGGGTTCTGGAGAGGGAAACAAGTGCTGGTCAACAACATGGGAAGGGTCAAGAGGGGCTACTGGCGAGGGCCTTATTCTCCTTCTCTGTCTTTGTTTCTTTGAGGGGGGAAAAAAAAAAAGATTGAGGAAGCCCACAAATAGACAGGGTCGTGGAACATGCCAGGGATTATAGATATTTATTGTTCCAGAGCTGTCATTGTAGGGCCAAGACTCTCTGTTTGTGCCGGTGGTTGTTTGTGAACTACTTATATTTTTAGAAATTCCCTAAATCCTTTTTCCTTATTATACGTCGGACGTCTCAATACTTCAGTCTGGCTTAAGTTTTACATCTACGGACAAAAAAAGAGAGAAGTATTTCTGATTCTGGCTGAACGTCAACAAGCTTTTGTTACGAGCCAATCAAACCAAACTGCATCTATCGCTTCGTTATTAAAAAAAAAGAACACATCCAATCACATGTCGCCGTCATCGCTGCTGTTTGTCTGATTCATTCCTTTACAATTAGCTTCATGCCATGTGAACCATTTCTAACATAATGTGCTCCATGAATGTTTTAGTGTTGCTATAAATTCCACAAAACTCCATTAAACCCAAGAGAGATATCGGATTTTTCTTTTTTTGGTGGAAAGTTGTAGGAAGAAACTTTTTTCCACATCTGTCTCAATATATATATCTATAGTGAGACAGATGTGGAAAAAGCTTCTTATAGCACATTTCCAGCCTCCCCTGTGTGACTTCACCATCAGCTGTTTGGCACCACCTTGTGACAAAGCGATCCAGACTGCCGCCCAGACTCCTCCTAAATTTAAGCCTCCCCCCTCTAATTCATTTAAACAAATAAATATTCTGCATTTTTTTCCCCCTCTGATGTGTTTTTTGCAGCTACTTTTCCCATTCTGTAACTCGGTCATTTTTATAGTTGGCATTGACTCGCACCACATGACGGTCATAAGGCAGGATTTCAACACAACTCTCTCTTCTTGGGAGTGAATTTTATTTACGTTCGTGCTTCTAAACAGATTCCCACTGTTGTGTGAATCAAACCGTTAAAAAGGAGTATCCCTGTGACCTGAAGGACGTTTTTCCACACGTCGATGTGAATAAAGATAAAAACGAGATTACAGATTATGAATGAACAGGTCTTTTTAATGTGCGATCCCACGTATTAATGGTTAAATAATGTTTAAACTTAAACATATTCACAGCAAGAGAGCACAGAAATGTTTAATACTCATCCTCTTGCTGTAGGTTTGGTCGTAGCCACTGTAATATTCAATAATTTAGAGAACAGATTTACAGCGTGGTACATGTTCTAAATGAATCCTGTGAGATTGAGCTCTTAAAAGACAAAAAAAAAAAAAATGACCGGTGGACTCTTGACGGATCTATTAGCAGTGAACTCACTAATTACACTGGAATCTGTACCAGAGGCGACCCGTCACACATGGGCCCGGTTCATTCAGGAGTAATTTCATTTCACATTTCATGTCCGAATTCTTCGTGCCTCAGTGGCTTCATTGTACGCGGAGGACAAACACTGTTTTATGTCATGATTTTGGAACCAAAGGATTCTGGACAGGACGTTCCAGGTTGCAAATAATTTGATGCAGCGTAGTTATGAAAGAAGAAGAAGAAAGAAAGACGGAGGGCCTGAAGCAGCAGCCGGTCCGCTGTCCGGCCCTCAAGCACCGTTGAGACAATCAGCACCCAAAAACACATTTACTACACCGTCAAAATTTGCATAAGTTGTTTTATTCATAGTTATTGTCCTTTTTTATATTTCTTTTTTTTTTTCTTTTTCATTGTTTTGTCTTTTGTTGAAGTGGACATCCCGTAAAGTCAAGCCTGAAGCCCTTGGCTGAGTTGTTCTCTGAACTGAAAAGAAAGGGTAAGAGGAGGAGCGGAGTGGGATTTGTCTTTTTTTTTCTTTTTTTTTTACCTCCTCTATCTCTCACTCTCTCTTTATCTCACTCGCAGTATCCCAACTCAACCTTTATTTTCATTTGTTTGAACAAACAGTGTACCTTACAGTATATTTACACATCATACTGACTGACTGTTTAACAATTTCCACTTAGATAATGCAAGGAAGATTGAACTCTCAAGGTTTGTTTCTTTGTTTTTTTTTTTTCTTCTACAGTCTTGTTCTCCTTTGATCCACTTTCTCCTCTCATGCTAACTTTGTCGTGAGGTTTTTCTTTGTCAGCATTGTCGTCATCATCACCATCATCATCGCCGCCGCTATCATCATCATCTTTTTTCATCATCATCATCATCATAACATTATGATCACCATTATTATATCGATAAAACTCTTTTCAAATAGATTCCTCTCTTGACAACTGTACAATCGTACACAGTGTTTGACTTTTATATATATTTTTGGGAATATATTATTTAAAACCTAGGAAAAGAGAAACCCAAAGAAAATATATTAGTATCCCAAAGTAACAAAATCATGCATGTTTTTTAACGTCCATAAAAACAAAATCAAAAAAACAAAAACAAAAAAAAAAGAAGGTCATGGATGGGATCTGATTTTATTTACAAACTGATCTTGGCACTGTTTTTGTCGTCTCTTGCTGGAAACTGGAATGATCATAAATACTTTTGACTCTGCCGAGCGTAACATACTCCTGGTATTATAAGTCAGTGTCCTGCTGTAAAAGGCAGGTTGGAGAGACATGTTCTTTTTTCTTATTTTTTTTAAAGCACAAAAAGATTAAAGAAAGAAAGAAGGGAGGAGGGAGGAAGGACAACATCAGAGGGTCGACCAGGGGACAGAACAGAAATCAGTGTGTAGAAAACGTATTTCACTTCAACTTTAGACGGTGGCAGTTTCCTCTTTTTAGGCAGAAACCCTGTGACATCATGTCTAATGACTTCTTCTCCCCCCTCCCCACCCACCCACCCAGGAATACAGGCTCTCATCAGGTGCACTCACTGTTTACTACTGTTTGGGTGAAAATCCAAAAAGAGAACATTGATTCTGTCAAAATTATTATTATTATCTTTTTTTTTTTTTTTTCCTTTTTCTTTTTTATAAAGCAGCATTAATTGACTCAGGCAAATAAAAGAAAGGAGACAAAAGTAACTGAAAACCGCCAGTACAGACCTATTATCAGTCTCAGGTTTGGCAGGCAGGTCGGGGGGGTAGCTGTCTAAAATTTCCAGTGTTGCCTCGTCAAACAAGTGCTTGACTGTTGATCCAAAGATCTTGTGTGTGAACAAACAATAAGGATCAGTGTGTGTGTGTATATGTGTGTATGTGTGTGTGTGTGTTTGGGTGTCTCTGCATACTCATATTCAGTGCAAACACGTAGGGTTAAAAAATCCCGTCTTCACCATCAGCTCTGCTGCTTCCATAGAAACAGTTGGATCTACAGTATCGTCCGTCCCTGACCGCCTCATTTGCTTCCCAGTTCTCTGTTGCACCTCTTCAAAGAGATAAACCAGCAGGCAGACTGACATGCCTCCGTTTATCCAGCCTGACGACGGGCCGACTGCTGCCAAGCGGCCCCCCGCTTTAACCCCCAGCCCACCACCCGCCACCCCACCCGCTCCCAACCAGCGTCAGGTCCTAGCATAGCCCAATGTACTTCAGATTGTTCTGGATGATCACGTCCGTGACAGCGTCGAACACAAACTGGATGTTGCTGGTGTCAGTGGCACAGGTGAAGTGCGAATAGATCTCCTTGGTCTCCTTGTTGCGGTTGAGGTCCTCGAACTGCCGCTGCACGTAGACGGCCGCCTCCTCGTAGGTGTTCTGACCTTTGTAGTCGGGGAAGCACACTGTCAGGGGAATGCGTTTTATCTTCTCGGCCAACAGGTCCTTCTTGTTGAGGAAGAGGATGAGCGACGTGTTGGTGAACCAGTTGTTGTTGCAGATGGAGTCGAACAGACGCAAGCTCTCGGCCATGCGGCTCTGTGGGCAAAGAGGAAGGAAATGAAACAGAAATGGAGATCAGAGCAATATTATCTGAAGCACTGTGAGCTGGAAAAACAGGATTTTTCTTTTACAACAGCAACAATATGACACAACTCTTCCAGTTGAGACACTATTGGAGTGGTTTCACCATCATACCTGCTCAATAATTCTCTTAATATTAACCATAAATGCAAATTTAACTTCTGTTTTTATTTCCTCATAGAGTTTGCCTCTGACTGGCAGCTTACTCTACATTTTTAAACTTCCTATTTGTGCCAATCACTGGAAAATAATAAGAAATCAGCCTCTTAGGGGAAAAAAATACATGTTTTATGGTTGGTGGAATATCATAATAGGAAGAAACTTGGACATTTCTTGATCAAATTTGCACCATCATATAATTAGTTTGTGTTATTCTGTCAGAGCAAAGTTGTACCATTTAAGACAACAAGTACATATTAAGAGTTAATTTGCAAAAACAGATAACTCCATCTTCACAAACCTTCAGAAAACCCATTTTTTCCATCGTCTACCTGAGACAATATCAATCAAACTTAATTTATCTCTGTTTTTGTCATTTCTACCGAGTCAAACCCACTCAGCTTCAGTTTTACTGATATTATCTCAAGAAAACAGCAAAAAAATAAGTTTTCTGAAAGTCTACAAAAATTGAGTTATCTGCTTTTGCAAATGAACTCTTCATATCAATAAGCTGTCAAATGTTCAGGACTGTAGTTGTGTTATTTCTCAAGTTATGGCACCTCAAACATTGCCTCAAAGATTGACGAAGAAGAAAACAATATGAAAATTTTTTAACCAAAAACACTATGTATTACTGACGACCCCAGAGTTTACACACGGTCAACCCAATCAATATTCACCACTTTTTTAAAAAATCAGTCAAATTGAAGGTGGTCGGGTGTAAATCTTTTTTAAAATGTGGTGAATTGACGCTGCAGTATTTACCAAAACCAAACTATTCAAACTAGAAAATGAACAAAATTTGTCAGGTTGCACCAATAGTCCAGCAGGAAAACAAAGACAAGATAAGAGGAGGTGTAAAACCCGCATCACAGATCTCCACCAGTCTAACCGAAGCTACGACTTCTGTGTTGTGTCAACAGAGGCTCAAGACAAAGACCGACGTTTGAACTTTCACATTCTCCTCTAAAAATTTAACTCCTTTGCAGCTTTCTCCACGATCAGTCCCAGAAGTTTCATCCATCCCTGTCACTAAATACTCTGATGTGTGGAGTGATTATCGTTTGAACATCTGAGTGTCTCCCGTGCAGGTTTTGGTGTGTGTACACTGACGACAAACAGCTGTAACCTTAAATAGTTTCTCATAACGCTTCTAAAAGCTTATAGAAGCAACGCTGACTCCTTCCACCCGCCGCCTGCCTCGACGCTATTATGATGAATTTGCTTAAAATATTCTTTTATTCTTCTTCTTCTCCTTCCAGTGCACCATAACAGTTCAGACTCTATAATAATGTTTTCACCTTCAGCTATTATGTTCAATAAATAAAATGTCTGAGCGCCTCCAAATGTGGGTGAATTATCATTTACAGCCCTAAGACCACGTTAGGTGTCACATTTATTTTTCTCCAGAGTTGGGTGCAAATTTATTCCACAACCGGCTGATGGAAATCACTGATGCCTGCCTGCCATGTCCTGCAGACACATTAGTCATGAGTTACAGTACGGGGTGAAGCACAAGAGGAGCAGCAGCGAAGCTTCACTGACAGGGGAAAAAAAAAAAACAGAACAATGTGACCGGCATCAAACCACAACTTTAATTTTATGTAACTGCTTTAATATTTGATTTCCCACATTTATTTTTGCAGATAGAGAAGGAAAAAAGAAAAATCAGTGAATATTCTTGCGTCTATACGTGCTCGTCTTCCTTACGCTTTTGCGCTCATGTGATGTGGAATGTATAACACAAAACAAAGAGAAAAGAAAGTTGATCCGCTCATGGCAGCTGCTGGCATCTGGCGAGTGGCCAGCAGCTTGTGACTGCAAGGTTGTCAGATGGAAGGGCTGCTGTTTAAAAGGTTACAGAAACAACACGATGCTCTGAGCAAATCACAAGATCTGCTCAGCATGAAAAAAAAAAAAAAAGGACACTGAGGGGAACGGCCAGGGATTAGACAATCGCTGCGCAGATTCAAAGTAAACCCTGATTACTCGGTAGTGTGAGTGCAGTATTTTTGGATAATGATGAAAAAGGCTGCAGTTATGAGAAGCCAGAGTTGCATGTGGCCTTTGGACATCGCCCAAAACGTGCTCTTAAGGCAGCTGAGACAGGGCGGAAAGCATGAGTGCATCATTTATGCACGTAAACACTGCTTCTTTATAGCGGTTTCTTCATAAAAATCAAATGCTTTCACGGGAAAGAAATGACACTTTAACGGCAAAACAAACCAGAAGTGTTATTGGAGAAGGAAAAATTTAACAAAATAGCTTCTAATAAATGCATCGCTGAAGGGGAGCGAAGGTTTCCAGAAAACAAGAAGAACATATTGAGGTCTGTTGAACCACAAGAGCTGCAAACTAAATACTGTTTAGATGTTCTCCTCCCCAAAAAAAAGACTATTGTCCTATTAAAAAATTAGCTAATTGTTTAAACAAATACAAAGAGACACCGCAGGAAGAAGAAGAAGGGAATAATGTGGGGTTTTGTTGGACTGTGCTCAGTGGTGAAGCCTTAAAATGGCTCTTTCTTTATCCATATGTCTTCCTTTCTGGTCCCATTGTCTCACAAGACTGAAACACAAGCTCTCTCTTCTCTGTAAGAATGCCTCCTCAGGGGGAGAGAGACCAAGCCCTAAACATTATATATGTTTGACCTCACTCCTCCTCTTATTTCCAAAAAAAAAAAAAAGAAAGAAAGCCCAGCTGCTGTGGGAAGAGGCAGCTGAGGGAGTCTCTGTCGTCACCTGGACACTAAAGTACAGTAAAGGAGGGAGGATGGGTGCTGCTGGTGGCACCCAGGGGCAATAAAGCATGCAGACCCCCTTCCTTTGCTTCAAACACCCACTGATTCACACACACACACACACACACACTCTGCTTTCCCCCCTCACCTCCTCCTGTCAGAGGACTCGAGAGAGGCGCAGGCCTTAATTAAGCTTAAGTATTAATGAGGAAGTTCATCACAGTGTCATTGCTTTGTTTCCCATAAATACGAGTCATTTAAGCGCGCAGCCGTCCCTCCGTTATTCATTAAGCTTCGTTTTAAATGTCACCGCCGTACAAGACGGGTCGCTTTGCATTTATCTGCCCAGATGATTTTTCCATGTCACCCTGGTTTTTTTTTTTTCCTGCTGTACCTGAGAATTGCATTATTCAGGCTGCTCGCTTTCTGTTTTCCCTCTCTGTTTAATTACTAATGTCTTTACTGTGGGCAGCAACACTGCAGGGTGCAGACGTGAAAACAAGCAAACACACATCGGAGGTGTTCGCAGCGTTATCCGTCTGCTGGAGTCTCTTAAAATGTACGATTTTATACGCGTTTGTCTGTTCGGTGTAGCGTTGGTTGCATTGAGAGTAAAAGACAGAAGTTCACGGGATAATTATGATGTCGATGATCAGTTTATGTATCTACTATATGACAAAAATCAAAAGATGATAATTTAATGTGTATATCAGGTGTAGTAGTTGTAATGTGTAGCACTAAACTGAAATAACATCTTGGTAGAAACCCCAAATCTGGAAAACAAACAAGAAGCTTTAGCAAAAATTATGAAAAATCCAAAATCTAGTTAACAAAGGAAGCGTGTATGTGACTATCTACAACTTGATTGACTGATTTTTGTGTATTCTTGAACAATTTCATTCCATTTTGTGTAAACTTCGTCTTCAAAAACTCCATTATGAAACAATTCAGTTACATCATAGTAATGCCATTTTATAACCCATTAGCCAGTTAAGAGGCCGTGGCTGAGAATATTGCTCAGCGCATGTTTAGACGCTGGTCTGAAACGAATCTGATGGCCGTGTGATTCTGAATAACTGTCAGCGTGATTTAAAGTCACTGAACAGAGCGAACGCTGTTTTACATTCACATCAGTTCATTCACTGTCTCCGCCGTGGCTTGAAGGGAGAAGCACACATGACAAAGTTTGACGTGAAAACATCTAAAAGCGTTAATTAATTTCCAGTCTTCGGTCACGTGAAAGGTAATTAAATCCCGTTGGAGAGATTAATAATTGAAACAATAGGAGCGGAGCTGCAGTCGGTGGATGTTTGGCTGAAACCAGCTTTAGCTACTGTGCTAACCTCATATCTGTGCTTTTCATTTCCACCTCACAGACACACACACAATTCACTGCACTCGCTCAGGCTCAGCTGTTGCATATAAACCTGCACTGCATATTCATAATAACGCATCCACAATCGCTCACACAAGCGCACAATGTGTGCATGCAAATGCACACACACCTCATCTATTCTCTCCAGCGCTGCTGTTTATTGTACAACCCCCCCCCCCTCCCCTGCTCTTCACTCCTTTCCCCTTCTCATCCTCCCCTCCCTAGTCACAGCTCACTGTCAACAGCGCAGGATTAGGAGCATTTGACTGGCCTGTTGCTAAGCAACAGTAACCATGGCAACCGATTCATTATGAAGACAGGGATGGGACAGGGAAAATGCATCAGGGAATGGGTTGATGGGTAAATGTACTGTAATTATTATGGTGTATTTTCTGTCTGGTGTGAGTTGGTGCATTGAAACTGAACCTTTGTCGTCTTGGTTGGAGAATTTTTGTGGCTTTTTTGCTCTTTTGTGTCAATGCAGGAAGCTTTGAAGACTGACATCACTGATATTCACACACAACAAGGCGTCGTTATAAAGCGGCACCTTTTCCTCTTTGAAGCAAGTGAAACTTTTTTGTTCACACACACTGAGCGCTGTGGAGCCACGAATCAGAGGTCACCACACACACACACAGAAACCAATGAATGTCTCACCATTATAAGACTGACTGATATTTC